ATCGTTTATTTATTCAATCACAAAACTCAAACAGAAATAATACTCTTATGTGAGTAAAGCGTTGTGTGTTTATTATTTGTAACAGAAAAAAATATATAAAACGTTTCTTTTGCCAACATAAACACTCTTTCATTTTGTTAAGGTCAACAAATATCCTGACATATAAACTCACTCAAAACATAGTCAAGAAAAACCTCAATAAAAGACATACCAAATACATAAATGTTAATTAAGAAAATCAAATTCATCAAAAGATTTGCTAAGGCTCAAGTTCAACTTGTTTTCCTTATAAAAACTTTGTCACAAAAAAGCTTTCAAATATGAATATTCATTGTATTGATAAATCAAGTAAAAGAGACCTAACTTTAAGAAGAACACAACAAAGTTGTAACACAAACAACAGAGGATAGAGTAAGAAACATCACAGACAAATTTCATAAGACTCAAAGATGGTTTTCACTTTCAGAAAGCAAACTTCTTTACAAATAAATGTATTTAACTTCCTCAAGACAAATACAAGAATACAAAAACATACCAGGCTCCTCAGAGCTCTTTATTACAGAACCAAACAATAAAAATCCCTACATCGGAGAGCAAACCACCGGTAGAAGAAAATGAGATGACGATATGCGGTTTTTGCATCCGAAACAAAGTTCCAAGAATCCAGTAAAATTTTTTGGTTCCCGATGATACATACTAAGCACGATAAAACAAAACGCAACACAGAAGTAAAGGAAGTACCTTTGGAGGAATCTTGTGGTTACTTTCTCATTCTGCTCTAGACTGGCCAGCTCTTGAGGAGAGGATGATTCCTACAATAAGCCCGTAAAGAGCAAGCGCTTCTGCGAAGATAAGGATAAGAATCATCCCGACAAAGAGCTTAGGCTGCTGAGCATTTGCCCTGAAAAAGAATAAAAAATGAGCAAGTCAAATACAAATTACATATCTTTCATAATGCCTCGAAGCAATCGTGTGTGAAAGGTTTTTAAAAGTTGCAGGGCGAGACAAACCTGACACCGGCATCACCCACAATCCCAATGGCCATTCCGGCAGAAAGACCAGCAAGACCACAAGCAAGACCAGACGAGAGATGTGCGTATCCATCAAAGAGGTAGTAAGACTTAGCCTTAGGGTTGATCCCGGTACTGATGATAACCGCAATAATCAATCCGTAAATACCCAAAACACCAGCCATAACAACTGGAACAATCGACTTCATCACCAACTCTGGTCTCATCACTCCCATAGAAGCTACACCAACACCACTCTTTGCAGTTCCATAAGCAGCTCCCATGCCTATCCATTCCAAAGAAATTCACAGATTTAAACATCATTTCCAAAAACATAAACGATCGTTATTGGATCCCACAAGATCACTTGAACTAATGAGAGCAATCAAGCACCCAACGGGTTCCAAAATTTTCGAGGAATGCACAACAAATTCGAATCGAATCACATCTCAGATTCACAACCTAATAGGAATTGACCAAACTACACAACACATGGTGATTGAAAACGAAAAGCATTGCTC